TTTTTTTTTTTTTTCATAAGTAATGTTTTTTTGTTGATCACTTACAAAGCTTTTATCGTTTTGATGAACTTTGTAGCATTCAGTTTCAGACTATATTGATGTGAAGGAAAAAAGAAAAGCTGTTTTTTTGCTCTTTTTTTTTGTTTTCCAATTTTTTTGTTGCTGTACTTTAATCTTCAAATGTTGTCGGTTGTTTTTTATGTTCTTTTATTGCTGTGTTAATATATTCACTTATACCGACTGTTTATTATTAGTAATATCAGTTTTTTTGTGGATTTTGTTACTGCAGTTGCTCTACCACAGTATTGCTTCTGTTTTCCCTTGTCAACAAAAAAGAAACCATAACCTTATGAAATTTTTGTTGAAATTTTTGGTGTTGTCGTTGTTTAAGGTATTAAGGAGAAAACTAACTGGAATTCATGTCTTTACCATATTTGCTATATGGAAGCTAATAGGAGAAACAAGGGGTAAAGAAGTGGAAGAAAATGAAATGCAAGGGGGAAGAAAAGAAACCGGATTTGGTGCTCTGTTGGCTCATACCAATACGTCGGATTTTTATTTTGTTTTTGCACTTTTTGTCTTTTTGCTGCTCGTTATCGCTCCTGTAGAAATTCAGGAGTTTTTGTTTGGTTGTGTTGTCGTCGTTTTTGTTCGCGGTTACATAAACGTGATACCAAGTATTTAGAGATCAACTTACCATAAAACTTACAGTTCGGAGGCATTATGCGATGATAGCAAGCTCATCGTCAGCAATCCAGGAAGAAGTACCGAAATCAGATGCCATAGAGGAAACTAGCGCTACTGGTCGAGGTAGTTTATCTTCATTTCACATACGTTTTTGGTGTATCTATTTTGTGGCTTTTTTATTGTCATTGTTGCTGATAAAAGGTGTTACACCATGTCTGTCTTATTGAATCGGTTTCTGCAGGTACAGTTCAAGAAAATGGAGAAAAGGCAGATGAAACTGATGGCGATTTGGTGACTAGAACGCCTAAAGTTGCTGATTGTGCTTCAAGGTGAGCTTTCTGTGCCCTAAAAACTTTTTGCGCATCCAACTTAGTATCTTACAAAAACTGATTTTTTTCCAAAACTTTCATATGCGCTAGGTTTTAATTTCTGAAGATTGTTTATTGTCTAAACTTAGCACCACACTTATATATCCTTTACGTATCTGTTATACCTGTTAGTTATTAATAGTCAGCGGCTTCATACTTGTTCTAACTAATTTACATTATATTCATATGGAATTTTCGTTTTTTTATTTTTTTTTTCTTTCTTTGTATTTTTTATTTCTTGGTTTTTTATTTCATTTACTTTTCTTTTGAGCGACTTGATTTGCTCTGTCAGAAGAAGTATTTACGGTTCACTTATCGAAATAATTCCTATTGCTGCTAATTGCTTTCTGCCATTTGTGATAAGAATTCCCGATCATTCTAAGGTAGAACTCTGGGTGGTCTGTTGAGTTGTCGTTGACGAAGAAGTCCAAACTGACTTGGAATTTTTATCTTTAAGAGCTCAACTACGTTATTTGTAAAGCACTGGCCAACTTTATCAAGACCTAGGTAGTACTTCCAATGACTTCAGTTCTTCTCTTACTGTTATCTCTAAGGTGATAGTAGTTAAATACGATTCTTTTAATTATAAATTTCTTTCCTTTATGGAAATATGGTCTAATCTGTTTACACTCCACTGTGAAGCAGTCGTTAACCGTATTATGTAGCAAATCTTAAGAAGAAATATCCTGTAACTTTGGTTTTACTTATTTTCATTTTTGAACGGGTACTTCGGTTCTAAATGTCTCTTTTTCTCAGTACAGAAATGCATAGCCAACTGTAAATGCCTAGATTTAATGTAAGTTTACATGAAGCAGTCGCTACGTGGTAATGATATGATTTTGCTGGAGACAGATAGCATCATGTAAAGTTCATCTTGAGTCAAAATTTTTTGCCTTTAAATGTGCTTGTTCCAACTTGACATCATTTTATCCTTCTGTCTTAATTTATATGAAATTTGCATGATATGGCTCGATAGATGAGCCTTGAACAAGAAATAGTTGTTTTGTAATTTATAACCAATGCTTGTGACGGTTTTGGAATTCCAGTAATAAATAAATTCATTGCCTGTAATTCCTGATAATATGGGTGTATGATGGTCTGGATAGTTTTCAAAACTCATTTTGTGTTCTTTTTTTTCGGCGAGTCATCGTGAGTTGCTAAACAGTAAACTTGCTCTGCTGCTATATCACCGTGTATTAATGTAGATTTTATAGGATCTAGTGTTTAAATGGCTAGAATCAACGGTATAAAAACTCAGTTTAAATTCTCGGCAACATTTAGGAAATGTAGGGATGTCGAGATAGTGGTGACCGTAAAAAGCCAATAAAAAATAAGGCACAAAGGTGTTTCGCAGATAAGCAAGAGCACTGAGTTCTCTTAATAGTTTTTTTCGTTATTAACAAAGTAAAGTTCAGTGGATTTTGAAGTTCCTTGCTGATCTGTTAAACATATGGTTAGGGTGCCATGCATTCATTTGTATTTGATAGGAAAAGGAAGTATTAAAGGCACATAATGGTGTCGTAATGAAATCAAATGAATGTTCATCTATTATTAATGAACGGCCAATATAGCGGGAACACTGACAACAGATGGGAAGAACCAATATAATTCAAAATTTAAGTGAACGGTGGATTTTTTCGCAAGGGTGGCAATCGTAAACTTTATCTAAGTTCACCAGTCCGTGAAGATTTATTAGTAAAAAATGAATAATTAAGTAAATAGTAAAGGGGAGAGGGTCAAAAGAGGAGTATAATCGGAAGAAATAAATGTTGGGCACGAAGGATGTGTTTAGCCGAGAAAATTGTAAATAAATAGTGGAATATCGCAAAGAAATGGAGGCAGTAATAAACCGAAAAGGATTATTTAGGAAAATCGTTGTACAATAGTTCACCAAAAGGTTTCGATGTGGAATCTTCAAGAATTGTTGCTGAGTAGGTGGTTTTCCTCGTTAGTTAGCAACGGAAGCATTGTTGGTGACAACGCAAGATATGGTGAGGAGGAATGTGTTTAACTCACTAACTTCGAAACCAAGTGGGTCTGATGCTAACCTTAAGCTTTGAAAACATATTCCGTGTTGGATGAGCAAGCGGTTTGTTGATTGTCATCATTCCGTTGCAGTTGTTCTTTATTTGACTAAAATTAAGCTTCCATTGGTTTTAAGGTTAACAATTAGGAGGACTAAGCGAAGAAAATATCAATTAGCCGTTATTTTGTAGGATTTTGTTCCAAATTTTTATTTAGAAATTTTATTTTTACTTAATGCCTCGAATATCATGGTTGAATGAGACTTAAACAAACAGTTTGTCAACTAATGATTCCCTAATATTTATTTTACTGTGATTAAAAAAAAATATTAGAAAAAACGGTTATTTGACACTCTCAAAGCCAATGCGTAAACCAAGTGCTGTTGGCATTCTCTGCAGCAATAGTAGCACCGGAGTGTATGTCAAAATTGACATTTTTGAATCTTAAGTCTATACTGATTTTTATTTGTTGGTCGTTATCGATGCAGTAGTCAAAAACAATCACCTAAAAAAGTAATCTGATTGTGTGAGCTAAGTTGGTTGTAATTTTCCCAGTAGTTGGGACGCTATGCGTGTAGATACTTGACAGAAGGTAGGCGTTTTTCAAGCAGTTCTTTTTAAATCAACTTAAGATGTGAGCTGGTTAAGTGTTAAGTGATGTAAACCATTTATAATACTGAGAATGACTTCGAGAGATGTGATTTTTTAGCAGCAGTAGCAGTGCTTGTAGTATTTTGTCCCGGTTGTTGCAAATTTTTGGTTTTGAAGAAATGTTAGGGGAGAGGAGGAGTACTGCTATCAAGTTTATGCTGCTTTTGGTTGTATACAGTGGCAAGTATCCTACAGGGTTTATTTTGGAGCAAGGTGCTAAATTTCAGTTTCACAGGTTCTGCTTTTATAATTTTCTGCATAAGAATTATGGCAAACGGGTGAAATTTGAGGGGATCTTTTGAAGGTGCTAAGAGAATGATTTAACAACTTAATAACCACTTTGACTTGTATACGTATCGCATTCAAAAGTCGTTTAAACGATATGGTCTTTTGATCGAAATCTCTTGATTTTTCGACACTGAGTTTTATGTTTGATTTTGAGGTGGTCTTTCTTAGGCAGAAAGTGTGGTAATCTTACGAAGTGTAATTTGTTGCGCATTACGTGTAGTAGGGATTACTGGTTATTTAAGAGGTATGGCCCTTCAGCTGCAATACTTTCAGTATTCGGCCTTGGGGCATTATATCTACAGAAGCGTCGCGAAGTCTATGAGTGTTTAGGTGATGTTTCTGAAGCATCAGACGCGGCTGCTTTGTGATAAAATATTAAATGCTGTGAATTGTGTGTGATGGGCTGTATTAATTGTTGCAGCTGAGAGGCTCTATCTCTCAAGGTGAGCTTTTTTTTGGATTTGAACATCTTTTCAATAAATTTTGATTATCAGTAGGTGATGTCTGCTTTTCTCATTATTTTTGCTTTTTTTTGTACTTGCTTTTTACAACTGCTTTTCCTTTAAATTCAATTAATTTATCTGCATACCTTTTTTTACATATTCGTTTATCTGTTTACTTCTTTTTTTTTCTTCTTTTTTTTGAAGCAACCGGCAACGTAATATTTCTATTTATGAGGACTGCTGATACTGAAATTATGTTTTATGTTTTTAAATTTACTGTATTTACGATTAAATTGGTGATTTTGCAGTTGACTGACGGGTGGTAGCGGGGTAGTAAAATTCTTGCTTACTGCTAACAATTTTCACTGTAGAAACCATTTGTAAACAATTGAAATTTTAGCCTTTACAGTTTTTCTGCTTGTCGTGTACCTAATTTGCATCTTGTTCAAAGTTTTCAGTTCGAAAGCTGCGTCGAAAAAGAAACGCACGAGGTCGTATGGTGGTTTGTTCAGGATGGGCAAGTTTTGGATTAGGGTTTTTTTGCCTTGGAAATGGAGGAAAAGAACTCGCAAAGAAGCAATCAGGTTTGATATATATATATATATATATATATATATATATATA